ATTGCCTGTTTTTATACCTTTTTACAGGTTATTATAATTTTATTCAGAATCTTTTAAGAGCATCAACAAACGAAGTATGCACATTTGTTAGCGCTTTAAAAACTAACACAGAACAGCTTTCCGAATTGAAATCAATTCATTTTTGGCTTAATTATGATGTTTGAAAAACACCGATTATTTACCAAAATTGCCTGTTTTTATACCTTTTTGCGGGTTATTATAATTTTAGTCAGCATCTTTTCACAGCATCAACAAACGGGGTATGCACATTTGTTAGCGCTTTAAAAACTAACACAGAACAGCTTTCCGAATTAAAATCAATTCATTTTTGGCTTAATTATGATGTTTGAAAAACACCGATTATTTACCAAAATTGCCTGTTTTTATACCTTTTTGCGGGTTATTATAATTTTAGTCAGCATCTTTTCACAGCATCAACAAACGGGGTATGCACATTTGTTAGCGCTTTAAAAACTAACACAGAACAGCTTTCCGAATTAAAATCAATTCATTTTTGGCTTAATTATGATGTTTGAAAAATACCGAATTTATACAAAAATTGTCTGTTTTTATACCTTTTTGCAGGATATTAGTATTTATCAGAAGCTTATAAAAAATGAAGGAAGCATTTCCGACCCTATAATTCATATATATTCTTGATCAGAATGAACAGCAGAATCGATCTAGCCATGTCTAGTGGAAAAATATATGTTTTCATTTTTTTCCGAAATTTGAAAAAAAGATAAGGGGTTACATCATTAAAATTTGCGAAATTCGACAAAAAATTGAATTTTGTAAATTTAAAAACGCAGTATGCAGATTTGTTAGCGCTTTAAAAACTATCTTAGATCAGCTTTCCGAATTAATATTAAAGTATTTTTGGCCCAATTACGATGTTTGAAAAACGCTGATTATTTACAAAAATTGCCTGTTTTTATACCTTTTTGCGGGTTATTATAATTTTAGTCAGAATCTTTTCACAGCATCAACAAACGCAGTATGCAGAGTTGTTAGCGCTTTAAAAACTAACACAAAACAGCTTTTCGAATTAAAATCAATTCATTTTTGGCTTAATTATGATGTTTGAAAAATACCGAATTTATACAAAAATGGTCTGTTTTTATACCTTTTTGCAGGGTATTAGTATTTATCAGAAGCTTATAAAAAATGAAGGAAGCATTTCCGACCCTATAATTCATATATATTCTTGATCAGAATGAACAGCTGAATCGATCTAGCCATGTCTAGTGGAAAAATATATGTTTTCATTTTTTTCCGAAATTTGAAAAAAAGATAAGGGGTTACATCATTAAAATTTGCGAAATTCGACAAAAAATTGAATTTTGTAAATTTAAAAACGCAGTATGCAGATTTGTTAGCGCTTTAAAAACTAGCTTAGATCAGCTTTCTGAATTGAAATTAATGCATTTTTGGCTTAATTACGATGTTTGAAAAACGCTGATTATTTACAAAAATTGCCTGTTTTTATACCTTTTTACAGGTTATTCTAATTTTAGTCAGTTGTTAGCGATTTAAAAACTAACACAGAACAGCTTTCTGAATTGAAATTAATGCATTTTTAGCTTAGTTATGAGTTTTTTAAACTTTGTTATGTCGACTAAATTTTTATATAAAAATAAATAGAGTTCGGATTTAGGCCTTCATTTCATATTAAATGTATATAAAATCCTTTAATCTCTTTATTCCTAGAATATTGAGCACATTTGTGACTCTTTTTCGGTCTGCTTGTAACATGATTTCCAAACGATAATTAGACACAGACCACGGGACCAGCCGCCACTTAATCTAATGACAGTTCTCTGGCCTCAAACACACACTCCACTCCCTCTCCTGGCTAAACGACTTCTGGGCTGGCTTAGATAGATAGTTATGTAAAGTGCTCGTTGGCTACCAGACAACCGCCAGCTATGGATAACTGACACACTTCCGACACATTGCCATATCCATATATAAACATATATATATATATCTGATCGGAGAAATGGAAAATCAAGGCAACTTCGCCACTTTTGTGGCTGCTCCAATTGTCGCTGGCCAAAACGTAGAGACAGAGACAGCCACTCATGCGCCGTGCGCCATAAAGTCAATTCACTTCAATTGCCAGCCATTGAGCCAGTTTTTCCGGCGCATCTGGACTCATCTCAAAATCAAATCAAATCGAAACGAATCAAATCGAATCGCAACGAGTCGTCATATTAATCAGTCGCGATTGTAAAAGGAAACTTTCTTTCTTTGGCATTTCATTGGTGGCATTTTCAAAGGCATCGACTTAATGGCACTTAGGTGTCGAACATTTTATGATTTTACGATCGATTGTGATATGTCGATATGGTGTTATATGGCCTTGTCTGTCTGGGTTCTTCAGTTGGTCTCCATAGCCGTTGATTAAATCAGGCAAATTGGTTAAGAAACAAATGTGAGCTTTGTTTACTAGGTGTTATCTGGGAGTGCCCAAAGAAAACTGATGTTTGTTATGGAAACTTTACTCAAAGCACCTCATTTTGGGAATTTAATTAAGGATTTATATGAATAATATCTTAAACTGAATACCTTTACTTTTTTGCCTTTCTCTATTAGCTTTCGCAAATATTTCAAATCACATCTCTCTGTCTCCAAAATATGACAATAATTAGAAATCAATTTACACGTCGGATTTGTGATCTCTCTCCCAAACAATCTTTCCTCGAGACTTCCAGGGGGATCATTGTTCGCCTAGCCCGTCCTTTTTGACTGTCGGATCACAGTCTGCAACCGAAAATGTACATTCATGTCCATGTCATGTGTCCGAGCGACTTGGCACGTTTATGTTTGCTTATGCGGCGGGTATTAAAGTCTTAAGTGAAATCCCATGTCACGTGTCAGAGATCGGACTGAAAATACAACCCCGAAAATCAAAGCCAAGCCAGAGTTTGCAACCGAAAATTGAAAACAGAAAACTGAGTCTCAGACCCAAACGCAGACTGGAATCAATTGAGAATCGCTATGAAATAAATACTTCAGAAAATGCGAATGTTCATAAATATGCTAAAAAAAGAAGTACACAAAACGAGAACACTGAGAAAATCTGATGAATATATCTTAGGGATTTGGAAATATTTGTTTAACTATATACCATATCTATTTTACAGAAGATTTTTCCTTATATTTAAGATAAAGCAACTTGCTATTTTGATATTATTTTTTAGAACTTCAAGTTAGAATTCTAGAAGGTGCTTCTTATGTATTTTTCTGCGTGCAAAGTGAGTCTTTTTGGTCTGGCTTAGAAAGCAGAAGATACTGGACGTTTGTGGCCGGGAGCCTGAGGCGACGTCCAGCCGCCTGGTTGACCCAGTTTCCTGCCATCTCCATCTCGCATCTACCATCGCCCATCTCTGTTCGAATATCTCCAGTTGCAGTTGCCCACAGCAGCTGCTCCTCCATCGAGACTTTGGCTGACTCTTCGGCGAGTCTTGGAAAAACAAACTGTAAGTTTAACCATTTGACAGTCGCTTTGAGATACACGGGCGCAGATATGAGATACGACTGCTGGCTGGCTGGCTGGCTCGAGTATCTGCAGCTACTTCTGCAGTTCGAGATGCGACTGCATCCTGCCCCAGACAAGCTATCTGGCACCGGCAATCTTCTCCCCTGTTTCCAACCAATCCTCCTCCTCCTCCTTCTCCAGAATCGAATCCCAGCGGCGCCCGACAATTGAAACTTTTGCGCCGTTTTGGCGTATTTAAAGTGACATTTGCTGACAGTTGGACGGCTATGATCCCGAGAAAAAAGATTCAAAGGAGGAGGAAACTGCCTCTGATCTTTGATACAACTCTTGGCTGATCACTGATTGCTGATGAACCGCTGATGGATTCAGTGGGAAGAGCTATTGTCATTATTGTTAGGAGTTTGAAATCGAATTTAATTAAGAGGAAAGCAGCTATGGTTGTAATTGTTTTGTAGATTTTCCGCTGATAGTTGTTGAATGATTTAAGAGGTATACAAAATAGTGAAAATCAAGCTAAAAGATGGGGAGTTAAGGCTTCACTTTCAAGGCCTTGAAGGCTTTATAAACACTCCGAAACTCTATATATATTTAGCTCTATTATTCTTGAAGATCCGTTGAGTTCCTTTCATAATTATTACTTTTAGTGTTCATATAAGCTTAATAGATAATCCATGAAAAGCTTTCAAGAACCACCCAGAAAATATAACGGATATGATTTTTATGACTGCTTAGAATTGCATTTAACAAATCGGTTTACACTCTGTAATGGCTTGATTAAAAGCGAATTAAACCGTTTTACGATCATCCATGGGCTTTAATATAGCTTCGCCCACGTTTTCTTAAATGGAAACTCCTTCTCTTTTTGGGAAAATGTGTCAAAGTGGCGCTGGTGCTGATAACCCCAAATGGGCGACAAAAGAGGCGCTTAGAAAAAGATGAGCGGAAATGGGTGTCGATGAGATATATAACAAAAGTCACTTCACCGACAAAAGAGATTTCTTTCTCTTTTTTCATTCTTCTGCGTTGATTTCTTTGGTTTTCATTTCTCTTTCCCCACAGCTTTTCCATTTCTTTGATGGCCTCTTCTTCTCATCTCTAGTGGCAGCGTAATCAAGAGGCCATTAAAGTAAACACACTAAAGACGATGAAGCCCCTCCATCTACTACATCTCTGCACAGTGTTATGATGATCTTTATGAAAGGTACTTTTGTTGGGTATTTCCAAGATAAATACAAGTATACATAACAAATAAGAAGGTAAGGTATTAGATACTTCCTTTAGTTAGAAACTGTTTCAAAGTATCTATACTAGATTATGCCTTTAGGGATTAATATATCCTTTAAATTCAAAATGAATCTGATTATACTATGTATTTATAGTTTCCCTCCCTTGTATATACCCAAAGATGCAACCACTGTCTGCTGACGTGTGTGAAACCCTCTACAAGTATTTCGTATCTTGTAGTACGAACAAGTATCTCATAGTACGCACTCACCTGCATGTAGCGCGCCAGAGCCGCGTTCCGCTGCGCATGCGACCTGAGCTGCGGCTGCGGTGATCCCAGCGGACTCACAATTGTCGAGGTGGATCCACCGATCCCGGTGTCATAGCCCTGAGCGTTGGCGCCATCAACATCTGTGGATAAAAACAAAAAAGAGCGTTAGACAAAAAACGATGTTAGTAATCAAGTCAAAGAAGTGTTTGCACAAACGCACTCGCGGGGGAAAATGCAAATGTAAAGTTTAATTGTGGAAAAACTATAGGCATGTGTGCAAGAAGTGCCAGGTGAAAAGTGGCACACATGTGTGGCCCTTAGGAAAGAGGCTTTCCCGGTGTAACCAGTGGGTCAAAGATGACGGATGTGGGTCAACAAGTCAACCGGGGACTCTTGAATATTTATTGAGCTGTTGCTGGGAAAAATATACTGACTGGATTCTTCTATGGATTTAAAACTAGCTATAATAATTGGAATTTGAATTGAGAAATAACTCTTTAATTATAAAAAAATTATATAAATCTTAAGCTTTCTCCCACTTAATTGCTTTGTTTGTAAAGTTGTTTTAACAAATTCACACTCATTTTATTCAAGTGCATCTCACTCCCAATGATCTCACATAATTATCCTATCTAAATACCGTAACCACAACTGGATGAGGCAATTTCCATTCCACGAACTGTATCACTTAATTAGGTATGCAAATAAAGCAGAGCCCTGATCATAAATAACCAGACAGCAGAAGCAACCCACCAAAGTTGGAAGTTGGATAATAAATTCACACACAGTTTGTGGAAAACTTAAAACAGGTGACACGATCGTGTACAATCGGCAGCTAATAAATCCAGGTGACTGGCAGGGCGTTGGGCCTATGGAATCGTGTCAGCATTTTGGCCAAAACACGGACATAACTTTCGGTTTTCATGGGCATGTAAGCCAGTAGGAGTTGTCTCGTGGGCTTCTGGTTTTTATGAAGTTAACCGACAATACGAACTCTGCATGCCAAGCAATTTGTACACAATTTGAATATTAATTCTTTTCAGAAAGCAAACAAGGAAAAAAGAGAGGTGAGTCCCAGGTATCACACGATCAGGTAACCGACTATGCGGCATTTGCAACTTGAACCGCTATTTGAATGGCAAAAGACTAGTGCCTGGGGTTTTAATTTTATGTCAATGCTGGCAAAAAAATATATTAAAGGTATATAAAGAATTTGTCGTATGCATTATAGTGGGGATTTATAAATAAGTATTCAGTATTGAACAATTTGTAAAGGTTTAAATGCTAGAAGAATGACTAAACTATCTTTGTAGTTAACTTCTCCATTAACTTTAAATATCTTTTAGATTATACCGATTCCCTATTGAAACATCACTTAAAAATCCATTTGTTAATGCATTCCACTGCACAAAAATACAAAACACTCAACCTTTTTATGGCTCCCAAACAATTTCTGTGGCATTTTGCACTCAACATGTAACAGAATATTTTCCAGCCTCATATGGCATATCCAAGAGATATGCCAAAAGAGTGCTGAGATACACACATACTGTATGTATCTACACCTCCGTGGATATGCCAATATGTGGATTCAGAGGACTCCAAGGAACTTGTACTCACCTTTCAGGGAACTGTTTATGCACATGGGACACTGATCGTTGCGGAACATACAGGAATAACAACGCTCGTGGCCGCAGGTGTCGATCAGTTTCCGTCTCTTGCCCTTGTCGAAGGAAATGCGACAGGAGGGACACACGGATCCGCTGGCATCGTGCTCCAGGAGACGACGAATGGACTGGAGATCTGCAATGAAGATGGAGACACACATAAATATATGAGTTAACTTAAAAAGGGTCTGCAAAACAGGTTGGAATATACACAAGTGTGGATATACTGAACAGTTTAAAAGCGTTTCGAAATGGTAATGAGAAAATTACAAGAAGCCCTTCAAGAAAAAAGGGGGTTCCACAAGCAGGTGTTATCCAACCGTTTATTTATAATTTCAGGTATTATTGTTAGCCAGACCCACTTTATTCAGGGAATATATATGCAAGATACAAGCACATATTCGAGGTATCGCAAATTCTAAATTTAATTTGCTTTACCCTCGACAATTTCCAAACAATTTTAACGAGCTGAATATTGATAATAACAAATGCCATTAGTTTCGGTGCCCCTTTAAGGCCTCCTAAACCAAATCGTTTGACTAACAAAAAAGCAGTTACAAATTTAAATCGAAATACACAAATCTCGTTGCACTTGTTTTATGGCCACCGTTTGCATAAATTGACTCTGTCAATTAAATCTCGTTTGTGCAACTGTCAATTGTCTTTGGACCCAATCTCAGTCAGCAAAAAAAGTGAGCCTTAGTTTGATCAGCTTTTTTGGTTTTTTGAATTTGCAGCAGCACCTGCTTCTCCTCCTTCTGACCATTTAATCCATTTGGCCAACGGCAGCAATCAGCGGAATTCTTCACTCGAACGCGGACTCGTAATTGATTTAATTTGCTCCGCCTGCCTGGTTTATTATTTCTATTAGCACTTTGTCTTTCTGTGTCAATATTATGTAAAATGCCACCACCAAATCGTCAGTAATTTCGCTGGCATTGGGTTTTTATTCGCAATTGTTTACACAATTTTAAGTGGACAAAAGTGCTGACAGTTCATCGAGATTGAAAAAGAGAATCAGAAAGTAAATTTAGGTCTTCATGGAAAGTTGTTTAAGCAATGGGATTCTGTTTTGTTCGATAGAAGGAAGCTAAAATGTATTTTGTTGTTTATTTTTTTTTTAAGTTTATAAGAATAGAACTAAGAAATGGAAGTCATATTCCCTATAAACTGGTACTTTTCCTTAAAAAATAAACAAATGAAAAGATGTATTAAGAGGTTAACTGACTTATGAAAGTTTTAAACTTTGATTTGTCGCAAAAAATTTTCATATGAAAATATCACTAAATATCGGTTCAGAGAATGTGAATTTAGTCAGTTTTCTTTCTAGATTATCTTTGAACTTTCATTACTTTATAATTTTCATATGAAAGTCTATAAAAACTAGTCACTAGTTCTATGACAGATGCTAGAAAAGCAACAGTGCCCCCTTTATTTTAGCAGTTTAAATTTATGACTTTAAAGTGAAATTTGTATGTGTCATCCGTTGTTTTTGCATACTGTCTACCTCAATTAGATGTGCAATTTAAGGGACGTCAGTTGCAGTTGCACATATTCCATTTAACTGGCAACTTGCAACCCCAATATGCATTCTGCCACCCCTGTAAAAAAAGAGGGGTTTCCCTCGCTTTTGTGGCATCTGCTGCATTTTTTTACTGCTGCTTCTGCTGTTGCGCCTGCGCATGCCATCGGCAATTGTTTGTGGCACATAGTTGACATTTTGTGCTGTATGCAAATTGCCTTTTGTCTGCGGCCAAACAAATGTCAGACGGGGCACACTTGTTGGCGAAACAGTTGTTCATAAATGGTGCCATGTGCGCACAAGGGGTCACACACAGTCTTTGCGGTCAGCAGGAAAGTCTACAGGCAAGTCCACATCCATGTCCTCGTCCGAAGCCAACTCCAGCCGGGACTGGAGTGAAGTTCAAAGATAAGTCCATGTGGGCTGGGCCTCCTCGTTGATTCCTTTCCACTCCAGAGACTGGCAGCTGTGACGGCCCACGCGGCAAATGTAGAAAAAGCAGCGAAAAAATCAAACTGCAGTCTTTTGATTTGCAATAAAAATGGGAGGCATAAAGCTCGACAGTTTGCATTACCAGTACTTGTTTAATATTACAAGAAAATTCTTTTTCAGGGCAAAAAAATACGTTCAAAATTAGATATCTTTCTTCAACTTCAGTTCTTAAGGTATACCAAGAAGCTTAGAGGCTTTCTTCGACTTGTATCTCTTAAGAATTGGTTTACTGGTAATCCCATAGTCGAGTTAATCATCGACAGCATTCATTCCTGTGTTTTATTTATATTTTTTTTGTCAAGTGGGCATGAATGGCTTTAGCTGTTGCTGTGACTGTGACTATGGAAATGGAAGTTGAAATATAAGTAGAAGTCGAAGTCGAAGCCCATGCGCTTGTAATCCACTTTACCAGCCGACCGGACGTGGTTCTCGTTGGCGGTTTGTCGTCGTATTTTGTATCCCACTCTCGGAAAGCCTCGAACAGGAATCGATGCCGATGTCTTCCACTTGGACTGCCTTTAAGCCAAGCGATGCATCTTGGCCAGGCCAAAAGCGGACTGTTCAACTGACATGGCTTATGCAATCGATAAAGTGTTATCTTGGAGTCCAAGTCAAGTCACCTGCTGGACATGATGATTTGTTGCCTGCCAGTCCACCCAGGTTACAATTTTCTGTGTGGGCTATGACATCGGTAGAGGTTTTCTTGGGGTTATCGATGGAAGAAAGTCATACTCTGAGAAGATTCAAATTTTCTAAATATGCTTTTACAATAATAACTGAATATATTAAGCAAACGATTCTTGCTAAAATTGATTACTTCCTGTAATTCCTGCCTATCTCTAGGCTTTTTTTGAGAAGCAGCTGCTGAGGAAAAGTCTTCATCTGATATAGAGTGTGGGTTTTCCCAAGAGATAGATTTACTCATGTACAACATTTACATTTTTATAATCATGTCTCAGACACGCACCTTGTTCTATAGAGCGTGGAAATATACTTTAATTTCATGGACTTTAAACAAATTAATTGCGTGGATGCAATTTTGTAATTCTTGGCTCATAAATTATGACCAAAATGAGAGAGAAACAGAGCCTGTACATAGTGGAGTTCAATGCACTCATAAAGATCTAGTTGGAAATTGTATACAAGCAATGATGATTCTCAATCTAAATAAATAAATTAGACAAAGAGCTAGTAGGGATCGCCTTCCCTTTGAATTTTCCTTATTTTATTTTTTACGCATGCGCGGCACAATTCTGCCTCTCATTGGATTTATTCATTGCAACTGTGAGCTGCGGTCTGCGCTAAATTGATTTGAATTTTCCGCCGCATTTTCCTGCCTCTGTCTCTCTGGATCTGTGGTCTTTAATGAATGTTAGTTGCGGCTTGCCGGTTTGCCCCCTCAAAAGCTTCCAAGTTGCCACGTCCCATGTGGGCGTTTTATTTCTGCTAAATTGGCAAACCGACGCTCGGATCGTACGGCTATATAGTAACATATAGTCGGTGTGTGGGCGAATCTGCGTGTCTGCATCTGTCTGCGCGCCAGTGTTGGCACTTGTTTTTCCTTTATGTAATTTCTTTGCGAATTACAATTTTCTTAATACCCAAACGCGGGCCTAATTCAATTTGTGGTGTTTCCCTCAAGCCGAAGCCGAAACGTTTCCCAGCGGAATGCTAATGGAATGCGAAGTGATGAGACCCGCAGTTTGTGGCGGGCTTTTTTGCCGCAAATTCAAATTTTGTAAGTGCATAAGTGGTAAATTGGTTCTCAGAGAGTTAGAGAAATGTGGGAATCTTTCTAGAAGGGTCAAAAGGAGGAAAAATAAACCCTGTAATCATAACCATAATTATTATTATATTTTTAATGACCAAATTATACGAGTAAAGTTTAGTGTGATTTATATTTGCAAGACAGGAAAGTATCATAACTGCAAAGTATCTTCTTGGGTATTGCCCACTCGGCAATACGAAAAAGAAGTTTCCATATTTGGAAGGTTAACAACGAAGCCCTTTATCTAATCTTTAGCGATGAATATCTGTGAAACTAGTTTTCGATTTTATGAGCCATTAAAATAGGTTTAACCAAAACAAAGGGCACGAGCTGATCTTGTTCTTCTCCAAAAAAGGGCATAAACAAAAGACCGGCATTATAAAAAGATTCGACAAGGCGATATTAAATATTTTGAAGTGTCAGATTGGAAATGTAAAAACAAAAGCCTCATAAATGGGAGTGTTAAGCACTGAAAATTAGTAAATAATATTTAAAGAATGCATAAATATATATGGAAAATTAATAAGTTTGTAAAGTATTAAGAGTTGTAAATATTTATAAAGGATTTTAAATTGAATTAAGGAATATGGTAAGGCAAATTCCTTTAAAAGAAGAAAGTTATCTTCTGGAAATCAAAGTTTTTATACACTTGCAATTTGATCATAAAAATCATTATAACTAAGCCAAAAATTCATTAAATTCAATTCGGAAAGCTGTTCTATGTTAGTTTTTAGTAGATTAACAAAGTTGCATACTCAATTTAAAATTTCAGAAAATTCAAATTTATGCCAATTTTTGAAAATTTTAATGATGTAACCCCTTGTAAAAATTTGAATTTTTGAAAAAATCTTGATAATTTATTTTTTGACCGGACATGGCTAGATCGATTCTCCTGTTAATTCTGATCAAGAATATATATGATTTATGGGATCGGAAATGACTCCTTTACATTATTTAAATCTTCTGACTGAAATTATAATACCCTGCAAAGGTGTAGAAATATATAATACGATTTTTTACTCCATGACATATACTTTCATTAAATTTAAAGACCTTTATGTTTAACTACAAAACCTTTTATGTGTATTATTTTTAACAGTTCCAAAGTTTATTTATATCAACTCTAATTGCAAGCAAAAGTATTTCAAATGGTTTTCAACTGTTTTGCGCAGGTCAGGTCAGGGCTATTCTAAATGGGGGTTCCCCTACATTGATTGGACAGCTCAGGGTTAAATGGAGAAACAGTTTTGACCCAGCGGGTTAACCATGACATAGGGTGGAGGGCAGAGGGAGAGGGGATTACGCTCCCGTCGAGATCTCAAAATGGAAAAAATGCGTATTCATTACAATTGAT